CCTGGCAACAAGGCCAACTGGGACCAGGTGCCAGGAGCCCAGCTCTCCAATCCTGCCATGGAACCGAGTGGCTATGTGGCCTCATGGAGCAGTGTCACCCCGATGGGACTGCTCGCCCTCCCGCCTGCCCAGCTGGTGCCCCCCTGCTGGCCACCCACAGAGCCCCAGCCTCGGAACGTGGTACCCACTCTAGATCTTCCAAGCGGCAGCTGGGCTGCACCAGAGCGTCACACAGCAGCTTCACACCGGCGTCCCCCACGGGGTTATTGTTAAGATGGAGGCTTTTAAGCTTCTGGCTGCTGGTGAGGACGGTGGCCAGGACTCTGCAGCCCTCAGCTGTGAGGCAGCATTGCATCAAACTGCAGGAATAGCAAGGGTGGCAGGAGCTGTGTGTCAGCGTGGAGTCTAGCTGTGGGCTGTCACCTCCCTGTCCCTGAGCACTGCTGGAATCATGAGGGAGACAGACTGGGAGGGCGGCCCAGGTAGGAGCCTGGAGCACCAGGGCCGAAAGAGGAGGCCTGGGTGGCGCTGGCTGTGTAGACACATGGCAGGAGCCAGAGGCTGAGACTCCCTGGAGGAGCAGGGTTCGCACCCTCCGAGGGTACCGGAGGTTTCCAATCACAGCAGACCTGAGGCGGGCACTGTGAAGGACAGCATGCAGCACCCACACCCTGCTCTGTGACACTGGGAGCCCATGCTGCCCACAGACACCTGCGGCCAGGGCTCCAAGAGTAGGGACAGGGGTGGGGCCTTGGAGCAGGACCCACTGTGGCCAGGCCTCCACGGCACCTGTGCTCATCCCCAGATACTGCTAAAATGAGACAACGCAAACCCCTGGGACACAGGTATGCACCAAGCCTGTGTGCCGGCAGTCAGTAGCGCGGGCTCAGCCGCGGCCACCACGGAGAGCTCGTCCCACCAGACAGGTGGGGAGGATTTCACACCCTCTTCCCGCAAGCAGGGGCAGTAACTGTCCTCACTACAGATGGCTCCCAAGTGGGGGATCCGTCCTGGATTTGTTTTGTCTTCTGTTTGTTGGTTGGTTTTTAGTTACTGTATATTAGCCCATGCTCTGTACTATTCTGTACTATTTCGCCAGGTTTTACATCAATGTTGTAGGATTATCTAAGTTTGTTTAACTGTCAGCCCAATCCTTGGATCCAGTCATCTCTCTTCTCTTACTTCCCTTTCCATCTTTATTTTTCTTATATTTTCTTCAGTCTCTTGCCCTGCTCCCTTTTTCATTTAAAGCTGCTATTAATATATAAAATTGGTATAAATAAATTAGTATTTATATGATACTAAAATATATAAACTAGCATCAATATAAAATTAGTATTAATATTGAAAATTACTAATCAGAATATTATAATTTTTTTCTTACCTATTGTATATTATTACATTCCCTGTCTTTTCTGGGTTCTTAAAATAGTAGATACCTTTTTTTTTTTTTTTTTTTTTTGGCAGAACTGGGGATTGAACTCAGATCCTTGCGTTTGCCAGTCAAGTGCTTATCCTACTGAGCCATCTCCCCAGCCCCAGTAGATACCTTTTAAAAGAAGTTCTCAGTTTTGCACTAGTACATGTGGCCTGCTGTTTGGTCACTGTGTAGTTGGCAGTCTTCTCCCCTCCCAGTGCAGTGCTAAGGACTGAACTTCACTTGCCAAATCGGCTGAGTGGGTTCTGTCCCAGAGAGACAGCTGGCCCGGAGCATGACAAGGACAGAGCCACTGACCAAGGAGACCCCCAAGTCCCAAGAGTTCGGAATGCCCTTACCCTCTAGTCTTCCAACCTCAAGGCAAAACACAAGAACTATGAGAAAACAAGGCAAAGCAAACCTCCAAAGATTCGCAACTCTCCAAGAACAGAAGCCACAGGTACTAAATGGATGAAATTCCAGCAAAGGATTAAAAACTGATATTTAAGATGATGAATGAGATCCCAGGAGATGCACACAAGCAGCTGAATGAACTCAGGAAGACAACATGGCCTAGGAAACACCACCTCCGTGAAGAGACAGAGGCTCTGCAAATGAGCCAAGCAGAAAGCCTGGCAATAAAAGCCGATAATTCTTTTCACTACGGTGTTCGTGAGGGATCATCACCACCAGAGCCTGGGCTTCACAGAGAGCAGCACCCTGTTTCCGGGGCCTCCATGAGGGGTGCGCACACCTGAAAAGCTGGATGGCGGACTCGAGTGGAGATGAGGACAGCATCCCACCGTGAAGTCGGGTTGCAGAGTGGCAGAGGCCACTAGCAGCTTGGTGTTGCAGGCCTCTTGAGCCAACTGTGAGGCCTG